GAACTCTCGTGAAAAATCGCAGCCGCGTACATATACGACATCGCGGCGCAGTACATAATTCATCTTGCCGTATAGTACGGCGCACACGCGAAACTCGTTTATTTCGATTTATTCGCGCATCGGGCAAAAATCGTGGTAAATGCCGTATGTAATGCGTGTATACTGCGCGACAGTCGAAGAGAGAACACGATTGACCTTGCCCACACACACACACACACGTATATGATACACGTGTTTTACAAAAGAGCCCCATGCGACTGCAAAAGTTCATCCGCGTTTGGTTTATGACCTCGGAATTTACATTGTTTATCTAGGAGATAGAGAAAAAGAGAATGAATGAACGAAAGAACGAGGCGCATTAGAATCTAAGCGAGCTCTGCATGGTTCAGAGAGAACTCCCAACGCACTTGAAACACCGGGACACGGACGGACACGGACGAATAATAATAAAAAAAAAGTCGAAAAGTGAACGGCGAGACACACAGACACAAGTCCGTGTGTATAGAGTAGAGAATTCCGCTGTACATACATACATACAGACGAGAGAGAGAGAGACAAAAAAAATTCATAAGGCGACGCCGTCTTTCTCTCTTCTTCTTCTTCTCTTATGGAAAAAAGGCTATGGGAGATCTTTTTCTCGAATTCCATTGCGCGCGCGAGCGCTCCGAGGAAGAAGGAGGGGCTGTCTCTCACTTCACTCGCTGCGCTTGCCTCGTTCGTTAGTTCGTTCGCTGCTTCGATAATATACAGCAACACATCGCGCTACGAGGATTTTTCGGTGAGAAAATTGCCGCGCGGGAATTCGAGAGCTCGATATGAAGAGAGAGAGAGAGAGAGAGAGGAAGTGTTTTTCGGGGGCACCGGTCTGCTGCAAGTGCTGCGTCCTTGAGTGCTCTGCAAGCTCGTCCCATTTCGAGATAAACAATATCCGTTTTTTGGGTTTTTTTTTCATTTTCAACGATCATCGAAATAAATTGACGAGACGCATGAGGTACGGGGGGCGTTTTATTATTCGTATTCGTACGAGTCACACGGAGCACGGAATCAAACGACGGAACGAGAGAGAGCTTCAACGCTGTTGCTGCGGCTTGTTGTCGGCTTTGCGCGCGCGAAAACGATCCAGCCACGGCGAGTAGTTGAAGGCTTTGCTCGAACCGATGTCTATCATTGACTTCAACTCGGGGAAGGTGGCGCGTTCCAAGATCCGCGTCTCGGATCGTTTGAGCTTTTTCGCCTCCTCCAGCTCCAGCTGTTGCTGCTTCTGCTCCTCCTCGACCTGCTTCTTCCTCTTGGCGTCGTTGTTGTTGTTTTTGTGGCTGAGCAGCCTCGGGATCCTGGACTTGGGCGACGGCACCGACGCCCTCTCCAGTATGTAGCTGAGATTGGTCGCGCGATTCAGCCGAAGCTCGGGCACCGCCGCACACTCGGGCAGCGAGGCCGTCTTTTTTGGCTCGACGTTGTTGGAAGCTCCACCAGCAGCACCACCGCCACCACTACCACCGCGACTGCCGCGCTTGTTGTTGCTGTTATTCTTTTTCTGCTTGCTCACGGAAGGCGGCGACTTCTTTCGCTGCTTCTTCTTGCGCGTGGGCACGGTCATGCCGTAATCGATCAGGGTGCCGTCCTCGCGCTTCACGATCGGCACGAACTTGTTGCGATTGTTCGTCCCGGAGACGCGTCGGAATCGATAGGTCTGGTCGATCGTGTTCTCGCGCTTCGTATTCTCCGGCGGCAGCTCGCTGTCGTCCGGGTCGTCGCCGCCTTTTTTGTTATTGTTATCGGTCAAGATGGTGGCGGACGTGTGCAGATCGCAGGCCACCAGCAGCCTCGTCGGTTGCTGCAGCAGAGTCGTGAGAACACCTCCCTGTTGCTTATGATTTCTCGAATCGTTGTTGTTGTTGTTGCTGTAGGCCACTACTCGGCTGTAGCTCCTGGTCGACGGCTTCTCCGTCTCCTCCTGCTCCTTCTTCTCGCCGGGGGACTTTTCCTTCTCCAGCTGCTGCTGTTGCTCCAGCACCTCGGCGATGTGCTGCTTGACTTTGGCGATGTTGGTGGTTTTTTTGCGCTTCAGTCGGGTCGTCCTCGCCGCCTCGGTCTCCGATCTCTCCGTCTCGGATCCCTTCTTCGATTTCGACGATTGTTTGTTATTATCGTCCTGATCGAACACCACCAAGCTCGGATCCTCGTCCTGCTCGTCGTAGTTCGGATCACGGGGATAGACCTTGAGCTTGTTCTGCCACTTGTACTCGGGGGTGAGCCAGCCCGGTAGATTTTTCGCTCTCGGCAAACTCGAAGCTTGCGAAATTTCGTTATCATAATTCTCCTGGCTCTGCTGCGAGGATGTCTCCTCCACCGCCTTGACTATCTTCGCGTAGGTATTAATTTTGGGCGACTTGAGCTTGCCGCAGTCGCTCCTCTTGCCCTCGTTCGGCTGCGATCCGTCTGCGCTCTCGCATCTGTCGAGTTTGATCCTCAAGTCGGCCACTCGGACGAGCTTCGGAGTCGTCTTCTTGCTCGTCGTTGCCTCGCCGCCGTTATTGTTATCGCTGCCGCTTTTCGTGCAATACTCCCTCTTGGGTGGCGGCGGCTGATCTTTGTTGTTGTCGACCAAGACTCGACGACGGGGGGTGAGAGACGGCTCGCGCGCCGATACTCTCCTGCTGCTGTTGGCCGTCGTCGAGGCTCGAGGATTTCTATTGCTGTTGCTCCCGACGATCGGTTTGGTACGATCGACCTTGGTCAGATTCGACATGATCGCGTCGAAGGGCAGCTTGCTCAGGATGTTGCGAGGACTCGTCGGCCTCTGTCTCGACGCTTGTCTGTGCTGCTGCCTCTTGATTGTCTCGATCTCCGAGGCGTAGGCTTCGATCATCTTCTCGTAGGAACGAGGAGGTTTGCCCTGCGGCGGAGTGGCAGTGGTAGCAGCTTCGGGTTTTTGCTTATCCTGAACAAAAAAATTAATCAATCGATTGAATCGGCAGTTTTATCAGAGAGAATTAAGCTATAATCACTTTAGCATCTCGAGCGTCGTTGCCTTTGCCACCGCTGCTGCTGCAGTACGACCTCAATACCGTGTCGGACTGGACGGTTTTCGGCCTGTTGTTGTTGTTATTGACCACCGCCGTCGTCGCCGGGTAGTAGCGGTAGACCAGGCGTCCGGAAGACGTTGACACGCCACCGTTGCCCACTGGATCTACATATACGAAGAGAACGGAAGTAGTAGAGAGGAGTAGAGACTCGCATAAAACTCGCGCTTGTCAATTTCTCCTTGACGCGGCGCGGACTGTCGAATTGCGTATTCGAAACACGGCGCGCCGAGTTCGTGTCGTTGGTTACTTTTTTTTTCCGATCGCCGAGGCAAGGAAACATACGACTATACGCGATTTAGGTTATAAGGTGTCCCTCGAAGACGACGATATTTCGTTAAATACTTACGAGACACGACGTGGCGAGGAAGAGAGCCGATGATTTGCTTCAGATGATTCATGGCTGTTTTTTTCTTCTTCACTATATACCACGGTGATGTGTGTACGGATGAATTTTTCACGTTAAGTATTGTTATTAGGCCGAGACGTTTGAGTTTGAAAATTTTGAGCGGACCATGATGATGGTGACGATGAGGATGACGACGATGACACGATGGTTTTTTCCAAGGCTATAATATACGCGTTCCGTCTACGTGTGTATGTTGTGTGTGCGTTTGTGCGTTAAATGTACAAAGTGAAGTTGGCTAATGGTACAGTGTCATGAAGGGCTTTTACACATTGCATTTGTGCGCGCGCGAGAAATCTCACGATACATAATGCACGCACTCGGTAGCCTATTACTATATATTTTGAAGAAGTATGTATCAGCTCTCCTCTCTCGTATATATACGGCGAGCGCAGCGCAAGGAGCCGCGGAGAGCAAAAAATCTCTAAAAGTGATAAGGCGCCCGACCGAGAGAAAGAGAGCTCCGAAGGGGTAAATAGCCTCGGCTCTCTCATACGTATATATACTCCTATATAACGAAAAGTCCAACTCGCTCCGCGATAGTAATCTTTTCCTCCTTTTTTCTTTGGGCTCGCTGTGTGCAGTGCAGCACATAGTGTGTGTGTGCAGTGTGCTGCATCTCGCTCCGATACACTCGCGTGTGCGAGCCTTTGGCTCTTTCTCTCTTTGCTGCTGCTGCTGCTGGTTGCAGTGCAGCGTCACGCTCTTGCTTATATGCTCTTGCCCCGCGAAACACGATCGAAGCTCGGCGTTTGGCTCTTTCGGTTTTATCGGTATATACCATCGTTGAAAAAGGATCTTCTTACCTCTCTCTACCTCTTTGCTGCGCGTATATACACACTATATAGCACGCGAGAGTCAGCGAGCTAGTGGTGGGAGGGAGGCCTAAGAATCGAGGAGGATGTTGCACTGTACGAAATATATATATAGCACCATAGAGATCCGCGCACAGAAACAACCTTGGACGCGAGCTTTGCAAAGCATATGCTCGTGCAGGGTCCCCCCTAGTTATATGTATAAAACGTGTGCGCATCGCTCGCGATTGATTGGTTTTTCGCGATGCACGTAAGCAAGCGCGTATAACGCGAATCGCCTTGATCGTTTTGATTCTTTAGTTTTAGGATCACGAAAAATTTAAAGCGACATTGCAACCGTAATCGACATTCTCGTCTCGTCGCGACGACGACATCATCGAGTTGTTGTTTGCTACGTAGGAGATGTCGATCACTACCGATTTGTCCTCGCATCGAGCGAATGACTTTCCTATGTAATAACTGTAAACTCGATCTTTGCACTCAAAAATGCGTCGTAGTCTCGAGCGTACTTACATGCGCGTCGAGCGATTAGAGCGCGTCACGCATATATAGTCGCATCGTAGAAAATTCAAGGTGATTGCCGCGACTACTCCGCATTATGCGCGAGGAGCTTTAATCTAAATTGACTCTACGTAGTTTTGCGCTGCCTGCTGCTGCTGCTGCTACACACGCGTATACGTAATTTTTTTTCCTGGTCGCGCCATCAGTCGCTTCGGCCCGTGGCAGTCGATATGAGTCGATCGTTGTTTCTTCATTTACCGCTACTAATATTACTTGGCCTCGCTCGTGTAAGAGGTGACGACGACGACGATGATTATCCAAAAGTAGCGGTGGGCCGCGTCGTCTACCGAGGCACTTACAAGCAGTCCTATCTCGGCCGAAGGTACGCCGCGTTCGAGGGAATACCTTATGCAGAGCCACCCGAGGGCCGTCTCAGATTCGAGGTAGGCGCGTAAAATCACTCCCATAAAATTTTGATCAATGACGATCGTTGCGATACGTATAGGAGCCCGTGCCGTATCGGCCCAGATCGTCGGGTATCGTCAACGCGACGCGCAAGAGCGACGTCTGCGCCCAGTACTACGACGTGCCACCCAAAACGAACGGCCAGCCCGAGACCAAAGACTCGCTTCAGGGCTCCGACGACTGTCTCTACCTCAGCGTCTACGTGCCTCGACGATTCAATAATGAAAAGACACCAATGCCCGTGATCTTCTTCATACACGGCGGCTCGTTCCAGTACGCCAGCGGCACGGCCTTCGGCGACAAATATCTCGCCGATCGAGACGTCGTCTTCGTCACGATCAACTATCGCCTCGGCGTACTGGGCTTTCTCAGCACCGAAGACGAGGTGCTGCCTGGCAATCTCGGACTCAAGGATCAGGCCGTGGCTCTGAGATGGACGAGCGACAACATCGCCGCGTTCGGGGGCGATCCCAGCCGAGTTATCCTGGCCGGATTCAGCGCCGGTTCCTCGAGCATACAGTACCATCATCTGTCGCCCTGGAGCAGAGGGCTGTTTCACGGCTCGGTGGCCATGAGCGGGACCGCCTTCAATCCTTGGGCATTCGCCCATCGCGCCAAGGAGAAAGCCCGAAAACTCGGGAAAATATTCGGTTGCTCTTTGGACAGCAGCAGGACGATGATCGACTGCTTGAAGAAAGTACCGGCTCGCGACTTGGCCAACGCGACCAAGCAGTTTCAAGTATACTATTATACGAGCTCGATCGCTAAAGACACCGGTGTGAAATGGATGCGTCATTATTAATTGCAGTACTGGCAATACAATCCGGAAGGTCCGTTCGCCCCGGTGGTAGAGAGACACGGGCCCCGTCCCTTCATCTCCAAAGAGCCCAAGAAAATTCTGGAGAGTCCCGGCGAGACGTACGACGTGCCGGCCGTTTACGGCGCCGTCAGCCAAGAGGGTTGCGATCCCGCGGCAGGTCATTCTTATACCTTATATACTTATTTTTGCTTGCGTCAATCCGCTATGCCATGCCTAGCGCATGCTAATATAATTTCCGTATAGAGTATGCACCTCACGCGAATCTGCTCGGCGAGCTCGACGCCCGATGGACGCGCATAGCGCCGTATCTGCTCGAGTCGGCGGACTTCCTGTCGGACGACGAACAGGCGCGGGTGAGTCGCGAGGCGAGACAGGAGTACTTCGGCAATAACAGCATCTCCAAGGAGACGGCCTGGAATCTGATCGAGCTGCTGACCGATCAGAGATACCTGATCGGCTTCGAGGCGGGCATAAGGCTGCAGGCTCGGGCGACCAGGAGCCCCGTTTACATGTACTATTACTCGTTTCGAGCTAGTCAGAGTTACAGCGATCATCTGAGCAGGACCAGGAACGATTACGGAGTCTGTCATACGGACGACATGAATTTAGTTGTGGAGAATCCGGATATAGATCCGGCGGCCGATGCGAACGACTTTAGAATGTCGAATTTCTTGATGGACATGTGGGAGTCCGTTGCCGTCAATAAAGGGTTCGTATTTATCATTGCCGTAATTACCAAATTCTCAATCGAAAAAATCCGCTCCAGAGTACCGAAGATCAACGTCGATTGGCGACCGGTCGACGGCACCGATCCGGCCCTGAGGTACCTGCACATCGAGGCGCCCGGTCGTTACGCCATGTCGAGCAGCGAAAATTTCGGCAACAAGAAATTTTGGAAGCGCTTCTTCTACACCGCATGAAGAAGAAAAACGATGTATTTTTTATACCATTGTACAATCCGAAATAAAGCAATAAACTACATTCAAGCCACTATACACAAAGGAGAAGAAGAAAAGCTTCTTTCCCCGGTCACGATCTGTAATCTTTATAGACCGCGTTGTACGTATATAGGATGCAAAGTTCTCTCGTCGATTCCCTTCGCAAACCCGGATAGGATAGGTATATAGCAGCTCTCTGTGCAGCAGCAGTGAAATTCCAGCTCTCTCTCCGAGGCTCCGCAGTGCAGTTTCTTCTTCCTCCTTCTCTCTCTTTTTCTCTTCGTCTTCTTCTTCTTGGTGTGGAGAGAAAGAGAGAGATAGATAGATGGGCTAGAGGCTGCAACACGCTCGACTATAAGCTTATATCTAGTGCGAATGAAAAAGTGTATAAAATTTTCCAGTAGGCAGCCCACAAGTGTATTTACGTCTATTTCGTGACTAAATAATATTTGTTATATATGAACGGGGGAGGATAAGCCAGAGCAAAAAGAGAAACAATAGGGATGCAACACGCGATTCGTACATACACCACGTTTGTTATATATATATATATCGATCTTAATTTCGTGATGATGCGCCGCCGCGAGTCGTGCGGCAATGGTAGTGGCGGCGTCGGAAAAGCTTCAAAGTCAGCAGAAACACAGCATGGGTTTTACACACACACACACAAGAAGAGTCACGACGAGCAGAGAGCGTGCAGCACAGTACCCGAGCTTGATATTTGCGATGATACATGTATAAAACCGAGAGAGCCGATTCTTTGAGTCTCGACGACGACGAGGACGACCTTCGTGCTGTGTTATGTAGTGCTGCTGCGCAAAACGAGAATATCATACGAGATCCCATTGTGTCGTTGTTGTTGCGTTCGGTACGATCATATAGCTCTCGAGGTGCATGTTTTTTTATGATAATTAAAATGCATATAATATATAATCGTATAGAGGACACGAAATTCGATTACGAATTAACGGATCCCGAATGATTGATGCAATCGCTGCCGTTGTAGTCCGGCGCGATAAATGATACTCTCTCTCTACTCCTGACCCGAGTAGCGCGTATAGCTCTTATTTTATTCATGAGGATTAATTGTCCTCGCTCTCGTCGTCGTCGTCAGGACAGCAGCAGCAAAAAAACAATGGGCTATATTATATCCATGTAATATCACATTCAATTAAACATCGGGATCACAGCAGCAGCAGCAGCAGCAGCCACAGCGACGCGTTTATATGTTATACATTATATGCGCTCCTATAATATATACGCTGCATCTCTCGCTCTCGTGTTAGTCGTGTCCGTGTGTGTATGTGTGATGGCTCTGAACCGGAACGGAATGCGCTACGCTGCAGCAGCCAACCAACAACCGGTCTTATGCACAATTTTTGAGTCTTATATCCAAGCCACGTTTCGATCTCTCTCTCTACTCCTTCTTCTTCTTCAGCTTCTTCGTCTTAGCAGACTCTCTGGCCGCGTATATATACACATTTATCAAGCGTCGTCGCGTCGTCGTCTTAAAGGGGTTATATATGTATGTATATAAGGGGTCTATCTCTCTCTCTCTCTCCTTTACCTGGCGACTTGTGTCGGATTAATGTACCTCGTGCGCGAGAGATGCGCGCGGCATGCTTTATTTCTCTCTCTCTTGTGCTTATATGAAAAAGCCAAAGGGCTTTTTATCGCGACGGCTGATCGTTTTCGTGCCGAGGCACATACGGCACAGGCACAGGCACACGGGGTGAATTTACGAAAAGGATTCGCGAGTATATAGAGTCCGGTTGACTTTCAAGGATTTTTATATACTTATATTATATAAAATACGTATACTCACGAGAATATATATGGGAATGAAATGATATTTTTCGAAGATGCAATATCGTAGTGGAGGGAGAGAGATGAGTTGAGAAAGGAGAAACGCGATACATACACGCGCTTCAATCAGTCTCGAGTTGGCGAAATGAGCCAATTCGCGATTCTTAGCGGGAGTGCGAGTTGTATACTATATACACGCGGACAAAGGCCTTTTTAACGAAAATAAGAAGACGAAGAGGAAAAAGAGGCAGCAGCAGCAGCAACAACAACAACATCGAGGAGACTCTCTCTCTCTCCGACACCTGCTGTTTCTTCTTCTTCTTCTTCTGACTTCTCCTTCTTTCCCCATCAGCGCGAGAGACGACACGAGCATTGTCTTCTTCTTCGTTCGTCGTCTCTCGTTCGCATTTCGTTATCCTTGAAACGTTCCGGAAACATGCGTGTACATGCCAATTGTAACTCCCGCGACGACGACGACGAGGATGACGCGCGCTTCGAGTGCGTATACGTACCATTTTTCATTAAAAAACAAAAAACAAAAAACAAAAAAAAAAATAATCCTGTGAGGAAATCCATTCGAATCACCAATGTCCCTTGTTGCGTGTGTACGTGTACAGCGTCTTATGTCAAATTACTCATTAAAGCTCGAGCGGAGCGTGAAAGCGACACTCGTCGCCGCCGCCAAGTTGACATATTCGAAATTAACGCGCCGCGCGAGTTGAAATACATTATAAGTTAGAAATATGTTACGAGCGTCTCTATGAGCCGAGAAAGTTTCTCGAAATCTAATTTTTTTCTTCTTCTTTCTGTCCACAGACGAAAATGGCTGATAACCAGAGCTGACGCGCGTGTGTCCTGTGTGCAAATATCATGGCCAACAAGCAGCAGCTACTACTACGATCCAGGAACCATTAGATAAAGCATCCACGGGAGGCATGAGCAGCCCCCCAGCAGAGCGTCCGCCGCGTACGTAATAATGTCCAGGCAGTCAACGCACCTCCTGTCGTTGTTGACGTTGTTACTATTGCTGCTACTCGTCGCCGACTGCTCCGGCAAGCAGCGAAATGCCAACAAGCATCACAAGGGCCAGGGCAATGGTGGTGGCGCCGTCGCGATACGCGGCAATACCAATATCGCCCACAGTAACGTCAACAACAACAACAACAACAACAATCATCACAGCAACAATGCCGCCGAGCGAAATTCGGAATTCGTCAAAGGCAAGAGTAAGTATAGTGAGTATTGGACGAAAAAGAGAAGTTTTTTTTTTCATTTTTTTTTACTTCTTTACCTAATCAATATTAATGAGTCACTTGCCCCCCTTGTAATGGAGAGACACACGTTTTGGTACATATATATATAATATTCATTGCTAATTAATTCAAATCTTGTCATTTTTACACGAAATGCTAATGATTAGATTTGTAATACAGCCTCTAATTTGAACGTAATGAGAACATTTCAAAGACAGCAGCCTCTCGAGGTTGGGCCATCTTTGAAGAGCTGCGTTACGCTTTTTCTGACGTACACATACATATACATCAATGTGAAACGAGACTTTCGACTGCACAAGTCGTTGCGTTGGAAATTATAAAACCATCAACGAATGGTCAAATTAGCGTCCAAAGTCGAGTAATGATTTTATAAATTTTCCGTCGTCCAGTAGTCTAAAGAGACAAATTACGTATACACATACCTTTTCGTTCCCCGCAACAACGACCCACGCACTCGACATAATTTCTCCCTCCCTCTCCTGCCTCTTTATCCCATTGAATTATATTATCATTGAGGTATTTATTCGGGAGCTGTCGCGCGCCTAAAAGGCAGAAGACAGAGAGCCTAGCTGTATCTATGGGTGCAGGAAGTGAAACTACCACGAGATATATATAACAGCAGAGACCACAGCTCGCGACGTCCATTAAGGCCTATAGATAATAAAGGCGTGACCCACAACGAGGCCTCGCAGCTCTTTTTACGAGTCATTATATGCTATGCGTAGCAAAAAGGAGTAACGATATCGTTGATATAGGCAATGGCCGCAGCTCGACTCGCTGCAGATCATGTGATTTAATAGCCGTTTGTCTCGGCTGCGCGAATAATTCGTGCGTTGGAACCTTCTTTTCTTTTATCGTGCGTTATATACTTTCACAGGTGAAAACCCGCTTCGTCGAGCGCTGCCATTCTCACGCAATTATATTGGCGCGGGCCATTTAAAATACTATACGTCGAAAAGCAGCTCTCGCGCCCCATTAGTTCGTCATGCAAACATAGCCAACTTATTATTGATGCTCGCCTATTAGGGGGCTACGAGTATATTTTTCAATCGTAATAATAATAATAATTAGTCCAAGGGATGAGCCCGAGAGGATGCGTAATTAATTATAATACCGTGACGATCGCAGGACGACGCGGGGATAGTTTCAATTAACGTACCACCACCACCTCTCTCGCACGAAACGATCGTAATCAGCGCCGCTGCCGCTGCTCGGCACGACTTGGGTGGCGCTCGTAATCGATCGTCCGCAGATATATACAGGCGTAATATAATGTATTATATATGCTGCGCGCGGCTTTTGACATGTACGTAGCAGCCGCTCTGCATTTATCATCGCGGATCTCGAGATATCTCGAGTGAAAAAATCGAATCGAGGAAACGAGAGAGAAAAGTCGTATACAGAGATCGGAATTTTATCTATGTAATGTTGATGTTGTTGTTGTTGTTTAAAGCCGTTTACGTGTATTTATTATATGGGTGTACCTATATATCTATTGCGATCGGCAATCGCATTTGTTTGACTTGCCTTCTATAATCTCTTTCACTCTGTGCGGCTCAGCTCTCGCGCGCACGCGATCGATCTATAAATACGTTACGAGCGTCGTGCACTTTTCTATTATATTGTATACGCGATAAAACAGGTTGATATCGAGTTTTACGCAATATCACGTGTGTGTGCGTGTGCGGGGAAATTTTCGTCGACTTTATTGCGAATATCGTGGAGACTCGAGACACGAAAAACTGGACACACTGCACTCACCCATTCTGCATAATACTAACGAATTCTCCTGCGGAGATTGAGCTGTCGTACGTGCGAACGAGCAGTGCATTGACAAGAGTCGATGAGTTACGATCGCTTTGAGAATCGGCAATAACGATATTTCACCCGCGCGCGCGACCCGAGATGGAAAATATAAATGTTAAAACCGAGATTGGCTGGATTTCGCGTGTCGCGTTGTTTGT